TCCAAGATCTCTGCGTCAGGGAACATACCTTAAATCCTAATCCCTAAACCCTAAACCCTAGCCTTAAATCATGTCAGGGATCCTACTTGATTCAGGCATTTTAAGGAAGCTCCGTGTCCTTAACAAACTATTCCCTAAACCCTAAACCCTATTTAGTTTAGGGTTTAGCGTTTGGAGTATGGGGTTGCCTTCGAATTCCCAGGCGCTTGGTACCCGGCGGCTCGTCCCGCGCATGCACGTACCTCTTCGACAAGGCATGACTTTCCAATTGTGGCACCATCTTTGCGGTGATGTCACGTACACGAAACAGAACCAGCAGCCCCTGTTGGAGGGGGTTAGGGCCTTAGGGTGTGGGTTTTGCGGGTTTAGGGGTTTGGGGCTTAGGGATACTTGGAGCTTCTTACTAAGTACAAGTATAAGTACCTTAATTGGGGTTATAATTACTTATAAGTATAGTTACCTTAGTTATAACCCTAGTTACTAAAAAGGCCCATGAACCTTAAAGTAGACCCCTAAACCTCACAGCCCCTCAGGCACTAGAGCTTTATAACCTTAGTTACTAAGTCCCATGAACCTTTAAGTAGTACAGGTGCCTCAACAACTCGAGCTGGATGTTTGGGGTATGTCTTCTTGTGGGTGAAACCTAGTAGTTTGGCGATGTTGATGGTCGTAAGGTTGTCTGCTTTAGGATCTAGGGCTTTGGGTTTGGGGGTTAGGGTTTAGGGTTTAGGGTTTGTCTGCTTTAGGTTTAGGGTTTAGGGCTTAGGGGTTGTCTGCTTTAGGGTTGGGGTTTGGGGTGTGCGGGGGTTTTCGGGTTTACAGTCTGACCGTTTAGGTAAGCCCCTGTTCCAGCAACTGACTTGGCGCTTATCTTTCTTTGGCTCCCAAGACCCCGAGAAATCCAAAGAGTAGAACGCGCAATTTGGGACCCTTTCCTACCAGGGTGTACTTTAGAGGAAGCCCTTAAGGGGTTCTACTTGCTGGATACTCCCAGGAGTCTACACACACTTTCTGTTGAGCTTCCCAGCCACAGTCAAAACGTCAGCCGTTCAACTTAGTGCAGAAGCATCTCAGGCAACCGTGGTGATTGCTATAGTGTGTTTAGGGCTTTCGGGTTTAGGGTTTAAACGGTTTAGGGTTAGCTCTAGGACATTTTCAGGTTGGTAGTTACCGTTATAGGAGCTTTATATAAGGTCTATATAATACCTTACAGAAGCCTTATAGAAGCTCTATATTCCCTAAACTCCCCACCTGTAGTTTCCTTTAATTAGCTTATTCCACTAAGCCTTCAACTGAAGCTGACAAGAAGGATGTGTCCAAAGCTTATCCCCATTCCCTAAACCCCAAGAGCTTCTCCACGAGAAGCCCTAAACCCCCGGTGACCATAGAAAACCCTAAGCCCGAAACCTCAAAGGCCCTAAACCCGAACCCCCAATATTAGGCCCCTATAGGTTCATAACATCTCTCCAACTTCCGGCGCCCAGAAGAAGATTGCAAAACCCTGAACCCAAAATTTTGGTTTTCAAAAAGGGTTACGCACCCTGAACCCCAGATGGTGGCTTTCTGCCGTTGCAGGGAAGAGAAGAGCCTTCAAAAAGAAAACGCAACCCCTAAACCTCCAAATACCCCGAAACCCCCAGACCCTAAAACCGCTAAGCCCCTAAACCCTAAAAACCCTAAACCCTAAAAAACCCTACAACCTAAAACCCCTAAACCCTACAACCCCTTAAAACCCCTAAAGCCCTAAACCGTGAATGCTGAGAGGCCCTTCGGGTTTTCACCATCAAAGTCGACGGTGAGCCCACCTTTGTTCTTCAGCCGCTTCTCTGCGGTTAGTATACTAAGGGTTTAGGGTTTTTGGGTTTTTTTCCTGAACCCTAAACCCTAAACCTCAAGGGTTTAGGGTTTTGGTGTTTTTTTGGGGGGGTTAGGGTTCTGGGGTTTAGAGGCTTAGGGTTTTGGGGTTTAGGGCTTGATCGCTTAATGGGAGTTTTTGGTTGGGGTTTCAGTCTCAGGGCTTGTTGGGACTATACCGTTTCGAGGGTTTTGGGCTTGGGGAGCAGATCCCTTAAAGGGTTCGTTTACAGCAGTACTAAGTAGCATAGGTAGGTTCTCCAACGTTGGGCTTCAAGTTTAGGCCATGTACTGTACAGCTACGTGGCTAGTATACTACACGCTAAACCCGAAACCGTACTAGCCCGCGTAATCACAATCTGCCAAACCCTAAACCGCCAAATTCGAACCGCTGGAGCCTACCTACGTAGAAGCCCTAACTAATTACCAAGATTATTCCTTAGGGCTTCTTATTCTGATTATAAGCAAGAAAGGAGCCCCAAAACCCTGTTCTAATTATTAAGGCCTCTACATTGAACCCGAACTCCGGGCATGGAGAGCCACATGCAAAGTGCTTCAGGCCATCGGCCAGCCGGCTTCGCTTCGGTGCAACCATTCCCAGACCGCCGGACGGATCCAAAAAGTAGATCTCTTAATTGGGGGTTCCTATGAAGTAGCCCTTAGTGGTATAGGGTCCAACATTAGGTGATCTACTTTTTGCATCCTCCCGGTGGTCTGGCTGCAGATGGTTTCACCGCGGGTTCAGGTGTTCGGCGTACTTAAGCAGTACAACGAGTTCGCGGAGGCTTTGAGCGTGCTCGGGCATGTCCGCCGTGAGACGGAGTCTGCTCAGGGAACGCAGGCCTGGCGGGCTGTCGCTGTGAGTTCCTATTCTACTTTTGCAGGTCCTGCACCCGAAATCCCTGCAGAACCTTGTAAGAACCCTGACTAAGTGGACCATGTTCAATCACTTCTCACCAATGAGGCTTAGTATAGGGATCTTCCTAGTACGGTGCTCCAAGAAGCGAACACTATGCTATCTTCGTCTTAAAACAACCGACCAAGCCCTGAACCCTACATTCCAAAAGCTATACTACAGGGGACTGTAGACTTAGAATAGGATCCTGGTGCCTAACATAATCCGAGACCCCCGGGAGGATCTAAAAAGTAGAACCCCTAATTTGGGACCCTATACCACTAAAGGCTACTTTATAGGAACCCCCGTTCAGGGATCTACATTTTGGATCCTCCCGGGGGTCAGGGTATTCATAGAGGGACGACAAGGCTAAGGTGATATGAGCATTGCTTATTCCGACGCCTACCCTCGGTTGGCCCTTTGACAGCCTCTGAACAACTCTCGTAAATAAGGCCCAACAAGGGAAGGTAACATGTCCCCAATTAAAAAACCTACCCAGACCCCCGGGAGGATCCAAAAAGTAGATCCCTGAAGGGTGTTCCTGTAAACTACCGCTAGCCTGACACGTTCAAGGCTTGCGGACGTTCTGGACGTGAAGAAGGACCTGCGGGGGACGCCCTTCGCCGCACTCATGGATCTGCCTCCGCCCCATGTGTGGGATCCCAGTTGAAGGGGGCTTCTGAATGAAGGATTCCTCTGTGGGTTCTTACAAGGCTTCCTGGAAGGCTTAATAATAATAAGCAGAAGAAGAATAAAATATGTAGAAATGGTAGAAGTAGTAGTAGTAGTAGTCGTCGTCACTATATCCGAAAACCCGAGTCGAGGTCTGAAGACCCTCGGAGGGCGCATGCAAATGCAACTTCGCAATTCACGGGTCTCCTGGAGTAACCAAGGTACTTGGGGGTTCATGGGACTTAGTAAGTACAGATATAAGTATTCGGGTTATAAGTAATTATAAATATAGTTACCTTATTTAATGAACCCCTCCCCCCCCCCCCAAAAAAAAAAAAAACACAATTACATGCAGTTAGCAACGGGCTGGCTATAAGCAGAGCGGTTTTCAGTTTGTTTTTGCGACTTTGCTCCAGCGAGGCAGCTTATTGCAATTCCTTGGTGTGTGAGGAGACAGAGCTTCGTCTCTTGAACCCCAAAACCCAAACCTAATCCTACTTAGTCAGACTGGTCACTTCTCCTCCCCCTCCCGACTACCCTGCCTTTTGTAGCTTTAAGCATCTTTGTTACGGACGGCCAGGACCCTATCACAGGATGCACCCCTATACCTCACCCTGAACCCCAAGTTCTAAGTCCCTTTGCATTGAACCAATATATAGATATTCCCAGAACCCCACGTTCTAAGTCCATATGCATTGAACCATATAGATATTCCCATAAGCAAAAGCCCAGCATGTTTTGAGACTCTAAACCCTAAACCCAAAACCCCAAACCCTAAACCATAAACCCTACGTTGCCTGCGACTTGCCGCCGCAGGCGATCGTCAAAGAAGCCATGACTCTTCTGCACAAGTGGAAGCTCCACCAGGAGGTTCCGTTCAATTAAGAAGTGCGTTTTTCGGGTATTTATAGGGTTTTAGGGTTTTTAGGGGTTTTAGGGGTTTAGGGGTTTAGGGGTTTTAGGGGTTAAGGGGTTTGAGGGGGTGATAGGTCAAGTGTGTGGAGCTCAAGACTTGACACTAGTCTAGCTTATTCTAGTGAGTCTCGTGCGTAAGGCCTCAGGGATTACCTGGACCGTGAAAAACCTACCCTTTTAAGGACTTATAATAAAGAAATCATAATAAGGAACCCTAAAAAAGCCGGTTCTTTGGGGTCCAGGTAGGACTTCGGGGTTCGATGGTTTCTCATTTTAGGGTGTCTAGCGCGGGGTGCACAACAGCCAAAGCGAACAAATCCAAAGACACGATCGTCTGGCAGATCACCGAGAAGCCCGTTTTGTGGAAATAATGGGCTGCTAACTTGTTGGTACGTAGGGACGGTGATCCTACTATATTAGATACAGGCTGCACCCGGACATCGCGTGAACTTCAGGACCCTCCAAACGCGTCGCCTTGACAGGGTATGCCGGTGCTCCGGAGAAAGGCCTACTTCAATTCGTGTTTGCCCTAGAGGTCATGCCCTCCTCATATTGGGTGCGTCATTGTCCGGACCCTCGTTTCGCCGATGTTTGTCTGGGGCTCAGTAGTAGGGGGTGGGCGCTGTACTTGCAGATACGCGTCGTGCCTAATCTCCTCCCCGGCATGGCAACGGCCCATGTGCGAACGCCCTGGACGAATTCCTGGCAGCTGCTCGGCTTCCCGGTTCAGGGACTGAGGCCCCTCTACTAGGGGTTTACGGTTTACCAGCACCCCCGAAGCACCCTGTAACAGAGACCTGATGGGTGGATCCTTCCTCCGGGCAGGGGGCAGAGCGGGCAGGGCGCCCACCCATATATATATATATGTGTGTGTATGTATGTATATATATATATATGTATTTATTTGTTTATTTATTTTATTAGTCAAATTATTTCGTTTTTGGTTTATCTGTTCATTTAGGTTATATCTATCTATAGCTATATCTAGATCTATAACCTATATCCAGATCTGTATCCATGTCTGTATTTACATCCATATAAACCCTAAACCCTCTGTGGACCAAGGCGATGGTATACCTTTACCAGCTCCGATGGATTGATGGTTAGAGTGGAGCTTCGTGGGCAAGGCGTCTGCGACGCCGACCTGCCCTCCCTCTTTCGTCACGTGGGCTTCCGGCTACAGGCCGCCGGTCCCTCCTATGCCTTGGATCTATCAGAAAATCCAGGAATCACGGATTATGGCGTGACATCTAGCCTGGTACCGTTCTTGCGGCAGTGGCCGCAGTGTTCTTCACTGAAGCTTGCTGGGACTGCCATCGGGGACATGTCACTGCAGGCATTGGCCGATTGGATGTCCAACTCTTTCGTTAGCGAGGTGGATCTCTCCCAAGTTGGTGGAAGCATCACGAGCAAGGTTGCCGTCGACACGCTGCAAAGGGTAATCTCTCGACGAAGAGCCTTGCAGAAGGACAGTTGTGATGCGGATGCCAAACTCTGGTTGTCTTTGGAGCTCAACAGCATCGAGGGTGTTGAGACAGCTCTTACACATGTAAATGTTTGGGATCGGAGCTGTGCTGGCTGGAAGCGCAGATCCACATGTAAAGCCAACAAGATCCCAGTCATAGAGCTTAGCCTCTATCCGTCTATACCCGAACCGCATCCATCTAACCGTGGGAAGGAGATCTTGTCAATTCTCAGGGGGAGCGCGTCCACCCGAAGTGTGGTTGAGCCACTCGCTCTGAGTGTGGATGAGTTTCAGTTGTATTGCATGGAAGCACGCGAGGCCGCAGAAGCCGGCGCTGATCGCAAGAACCACGAGACCTTCGGAAAGGATTCCGTGGTAGACGGCTGGTCTTTCGAGAGGAACATCGAAGCCAACCAACTCTTGAAGAACACCGTCCGAGTCCCATCAAGGACGGTGGCGACTGTGCTGAAAAATCCAAAAGGGCACGAGTCCCGCGAGAAAGATAAAGCTGAAAAGAAAGAAAAGAAGGAGAAGAAGGATAGGAAGGACAAGCATGAGAAGCGTACTGACAGCCCGCAGAATGCCGCCAAGTCTGCGGTAGATGGGGCGGTGCGCTCCATTCTGAAGAGTACATCTGTGCTTCATGCTAGCGACTTCCGCGGCAACGTGAGGGAGTGGCTAGTGGCAATCCATAGGACAGGCGGTAACAAGGGTGTCGCCGAAGCTGCAGAGCTGATTAATGCCACTGTGGCTGGCAAGCGACGCGAAGACGTGACGAAGTGGACCGGATATCTCAGCAAGCTGCTCGAGAGGTTCCACACGCAACTTCGGCCCACTGTTGTGCAGTTGCAGTGAGACATAGTGAGACCGCGGCACTGCTGGTAACATCATGTGGACACCAGCATATTTACGTGACTTGATTGTGTGCATTCGCTCTTTCTGCAGATTCTTCAGCGATTCTGCCGACTTTGCACATACGCTGACGTATGTGTCAACTGATAGCCAGTGCATAGCTTGACTATCCACAGATGCACAATTTGCCCACTCACCAGGTGTCCTTTTCGCATTTCAAAGCGAAGCTACTAGTTACTAGCAGTTACTAGCGCCGTGTTGCTTCAGCAACCGTCACTGGTCAGTCACACAGTGTGTGTGTGTAATGCTGCTGGTAGGGCCTGGCTCGAAGACAACCGCAACCTGCTCGACCCACTTGTTTCGTGCCGAAGAGGACTGCCAAGCGCTTGTAAACGGTGATGTACAGCACGAGTTTATGGCCTATGGCTGTGGGCCTAGGACACAGCGCCTGGAGTTTCAATCTCTACTTTTGCAGGGCGTTCATCAGTTGACTAAACACATGTTACTGGCACTTTCTTCCCATCATGAGGTTTGGCTGTCAGGGTGAAAAGGGCCCGCTTGAAGGCGAGACGGATCCACGCATTCGCTCGACATTGTTCGACGTGGTCCGGCTCCACAAGTATTTTGCAAGTCGGATGAACACCCCTCTGCCATTTATACAGTGGAAGGGGGCCCACAATTCTATGATCATCTGCCTTCCAATCCATCCATGACGAATGCAACACCACCGTCATGACACAGTTTTCCAAAGCATGGACCGACCAAAACCCGAATTGCCGAACTCAGAGTTCCCAGAGCCTTCACACCTTTCGCGATTAAACCTGCAACCCTAGTTCGTGTCTCGTAAGCCATGTAACCGAAGGCCTTCCAGTGCTCAAAGGAATCCCGCGCGGCAGATCTACGCTTGCTGCGATGGGTGAAATTTCAACAGTGATATCCTGCATAGCCCCCAGTTTCCTAAACTTCCAGCCCCCTCTAGGCCTAAAACACGTTAGCCCTAGAGTCCTGAAATGTTTCCTTGTAGAACCCTTACATGATCCGTATCCCTTAAAGGAAGCCTTAACACGAAGCCCTAAAGGAGTAGCCCGTGGGGAGTGGCTGGGCTCCCGATTCGTCCAGTACAGGCCGCCGGGCTTGGGCGCACCTTTTCGCAGGCTTTCGCCTGCACTTGGAAGATCGAGGTTCAGGGCACTTTAGGGCTTTGGGGTTTAGGGCGCTTTAGGGTTTAGGGGTTCAGGGCACTTTAGGGTTTAGGGGTTTGGGGCACTTTAGGGCTTTGGGGTTCAGGGCACTTTAGGGCTTTGGGGTTTAGGGCGCTTTAGGGTTTAGGGGTTCAGGGCACTTTAGGGTTTTGGGGTTTGGGGCACTTTCGGGCTTTGGGGTTCAGGGCACTTTAGGGTTTAGGGGTTTGGGGCACTTTAGGGTTTAGGGGTTTAGGGCACTTTAGGGCTTTGGGGTTCAGGGCACTTTAGGGCTTTGGGGTTTAGGGCACTTTCGGGCTTTGGGGTTCAGGGCACTTTAGGGTTTAGGGGTTTGGGGCACTTTAGGGCTTTGGGGTTTGGGGCACTTTAGGGTTTAGGGGTTTGGGGCACTTTAGGGCTTTGGGGTTTAGGGCACTTTAGGGTGTTGGGGTTCAGGGCACTTTAGGGCTTTGGGGGTTTAGGGCACTCTAGGGTTCAGGGGTTTATCTAGGACATTTTCAGGTGGGTAGCTACCGTTATAGGAGCCTTATAGAAGGTCGATATACCTTATAGAAGCCTTATAGAAGCACTATATACCCTAAACTCCCCACCTGTAGTTTCCTTTAAGTTCAGGGTTTCGGGTTTAGGGGTTAGGGGTGAGAGTTTTGGAAGATCGGGGGAGGATTTGATAAGCTGGGTCTTTGGGCAACAGTACGCGACATGCAGCTCGATTTCCGAGAGCTTTGAACCCTTCGGCTAGCCTTTACCGCGTCTGCCCGATCCTCCGAGAAAAACTGGGTTCTTGTTAGGAGATTTAATTTAAGTTACCATAATAAAGAATCCATGTTGTTTAATGTAGATCCCCATCATGGAACTAAAACTAAATCCCTGAGCAAGAACCCAGAAAAGGCCTCACTGAGGCTCTCCAGGATGGGATCCCGGTGCTTTCCGGGATCTCATGTCCGAACGTTGCCCATCTCATGCCTTCATTTTCAAGCGACGTAGCGTGGTCTCGAAACAGGGTCGTGCTTCTTGAACGGATGTTAGGCTGCAAGAGGCTTCCATGAGCATAGATTGATACGTCAACCGGAACCTCGAATCTTTCAGCCGGCCCTATAGGTCTCCTCACTTTCAGCCCTGAGACCACTACGGTTGATGACATAAATCCTGCATTGCCCATATTAATAAGGAATATACCATAACTCCCATAGTTTAGGATCCTTAAGGTAATGCAGGATTTATATCATCAACAGTATGATCAAGGGCAGGCTTGTCACATTGGCATGTGTGGCGCTGCGCTGGCAAAAAAGAGCGCTCCCTTTGCTTTGCTCACATTCTGGTGATGCCAGTGCACATGCTTCCGCTTTCTGCTTCTGGCTACTGTGGCATTACAGTCTTAGCCTTTAAATTTCTGGATCTTTAACTCCCTGCAAAGTCCTGAATCTGAATCCCATGCAATCCCTGAAACCTGAACTCCCCAGCTGTTACCACGGCTTCTGCTCTTGGATGCCACTCACGGGACGTTGCGAGAATTCGAAGTGTAACCTCTCCCCAACGCCGAAGCAGGAGGCCTTGAGATAGGTTTTACATAGAGCTTGAAGGATTAAACCCGAGCCCGACAATGATCGCTGGAGACTCTCCTTTAAGCTTCCTGCACTCCTGACTCCTCGAGCTTTTTAGCCTCAAAGAGGTCTAGGGCTCATAGGGCTCATAGGGTGCAGAGGGTTTAGGGCTTGGGTATATCTTGCCCGAAGACCCCTCAACCCTACCTGGACCCCAAATAGCCTCCCTTGTTTTAAGGTTCCTTATTGTAGTTTCTTTCTATACGTCCTTAAAACGGTAGGTTCTTTGGGGTTAAGGTAAACCCTAGACCGACTCAACCCCGTAATTCCTGGAACTCAAGCGCTTAGGCCAAGAACCCTGGGGTTCACCAAACAACTGGCGGAATTCGGGATCTCAACGGCTCACATGGTTTTAGGGTTTAGGGTTGGTTACGAAGATAGACAAATTTGAGGGTTTGGGTTTAGGGTAGTTAAGAGGGTTTAGGGCGTAGATGTTGGAGTTTTGGGACTCTGGCTGTTGGGAGTCGGGTGTCACGGGGTTGTTATGGAATAAAGACGCCTGAAAAGTTTATACGATATTGGATTCCCCGAAGCCCTACTCTAATTATATACAGGCCCCTAGAGCTAAACATTACCGTCACCCTCATAGTAACCCTCATGGATCCTCATAGGCACATTCGAAACGAAGCCTTCAAAAGGAGCCCTACCCTGACTATCAACCCCCGTATTCTCATAGAACCCAGAATTTGTTAGGGACAGCCTTAACCCAAAAAACGCTCTAATAGTGACTGCTGTAAGGCCCCTATCTTAGGCAGATCATGCCGGGTTCAGGGTCTCTTGATTCTTGGAGGTCGCTCATGCTCTGTGCGATGCGCTCCTCCACATGGCAGAGGCCGTGTTCGTCGTTGTGTTTGTGTAGTGTTTTTTTTATAATGTTTTAGGGTTTAGAGTTTCGCTTTCCCTTAAGCCCTTAACCGATGCCTTCCTTTACTGAAGATCGCGTGGGCAGAGAGTATGTATACCACACACGGTAGCCTGTTGTGTCGCTCCAACGTACAGTAGAGAGAAACCCCCTCCCTAAAGAAACACGAGGAGGTCTGATTGCGGCTGAAGAGGGATTATGAGATAGATTCAGGCTTACCGGCTGACAAGCTCCCAATCCATTTAGTCCTTATGTCAATGTACTATTGTTGATTGAACGAAATTTGTGTACTACATATCACTTAAGCGCTTATATACTTCTGCACTATCTACTATATATGTTTTTTGTGATCTCATTTTGTGACTATTGGTAGAGTAACTATGTTCATAGTGTATATTCTTATAGTCGTCGACCCCGACTCACTCGCCAAACCGAGATCAACAAAGGCCAAATCGGTGGCTGCAAGCGATCTCTTTGGGAACTCTTGAGTCTCCCCACAGCCGCATCCTCTATCCACCCCCCCTCGCCCCAAGGCCAAATGATCCGCAACTTCTTCATCGCGGTCATTTCATTCTGGCTAGCATTCCGTGAGCAGTACCCAAAGGGTCCAAGTACTAGTATAGTATGTACTTTTGGGGCCCAAATGGCTATAAATTGGACCCTTTGGGGTATACCAGTGTACCACTCGGAGTTCTCCTCCATGCGGCGACGCTTGCCGACCCTTTCTACCCCCTTGTCATCAGCCGGGACTTATGATGCAAGTTTGGTTTAGGGTTTAGGGTTTAGGGTAAAGTGGAGAGCTGCTGTTTTTCGAAGCAAGCCTGAGACAGATGGATAGATCGACGAACACACAGACAGACACACAGATAGACACAGGCAGACAGACAGACAGAAAGTGCACATTGACTATGGATCATTTCTCTAAATCCTCGACCGTTCAGCAACAAGAAGCTTCTGACCCTTCACTCCGAGAAATGCAGCAATCAGAAGCTTGCAGAAGATCCCCTGACCTTTAGCCAACCTTGGGCCACACAGCTCTTACAACCTCTCCGAATATCCAGACCCAGGAAACCCGAAACCTTAAACCCTAAACCCTAAACCCGAAACCTTAACACAGCTTCACCGAGCGCAAGCCATGGCTGCGGCCATTGCCGATGCCCTGCAGCAGAGCGCAACCTGTCACCAACGGAGGATCTTCGAGGTTTATAGGGGTTAATTTGTGTTCATAACATACTATAATGTACTATAATATACTATCCAATACAATAATACCCTATACTATACTATACTATACTACACTACACTACACTTCAGTGCATTGTACTACAAAGTAAAATA